CAAATTCACCTAGGTGTTAAGACCAAACATTACACAATAAATAAAATATTGAACACATACCATCTACAAGATCTCTTCTAGTTATGACATCTATAGGCAAAACACTAAACTATAGTTAAAGTATGAAGAACAAAGAAACAATTAAAAACACAAAAGCTTTGATTTTCTTACTTTCCCAAACATTTCAATCAGCAATGTTAATCTAACTTTTCTTTGATCCCTTGGGCAGTTTTCCACCATAAAGGATCAAAGGACAATAATAATATTGATGGCAGAGGGAGAGAAAATACAAAAGAAAGCCTTAGGAAAAGTAAAGAATAATTGAGTAAGTGAGTGTTGTGATAGAAAATAATATTGGCATTGCTAATTATGTCAGTGTTGAGGACAAACCTCTACATAGCCATGATAATTAACATCATAGTAGGGAATTTTTAATCTTTAGGCAGCAGTGCTTCTTTGTACTCACTCATGTTGGTGTTGTTGGAGTTTTTGCTTCACATAAATATCCTATTTAAATACTATGATTTATTAAAGAATTAAAAAACTATATCTTTAATCTAATTTTAAATCCATTTTATTTATTTAAAATATAAAATTTTTATTAATTTTATTGTAAAAATTACTATAAAGTTTTTGACATTAATTGGTATATTGAGAATTTTAAAATATCATTATTTTAATATTTTTTAGATAAAATATATATTATTCTCAGCTAATGGAATTGTAAAAAATTTAGTAGTTGTATACCAGTCTGGTTTTATACTTTAAGAACACCTTTATATTGTGTGTGTGTGTGTGTAACTAAATATATATTAAATTATAATATTCTCTCAAAAAACATAAAATAGTGACACTAATAAAACTTTATTACCAATAAAAATTTTCTTTAAATATTAGCATCTTGATTTCATAGATTTTAAGAACCCATAAAAATATAAACTTGCAACATAATAACTAAATAAAGGAAAATGTCAAAGGCCAAATGTAAAGAGTAAAAAGAATCAATTAATAATCAAATTTCTACTTGGATTACAATTCTCAATTTAATCAGTATTTAGTAGGAACTTTTATTTATAATAACCAAACGAAGACAAGTGTTTCTACTTATCAATTTCCTATACAAGAGTATCTAAAAGAGTGCTTGTGTGTGGAGGCTGGTAAAATGTTGCAATGCTGATCTATCTATCAAACTGCAAGAAATTGCAGAGGTGAAGGGAAGTCTCTTGCCAATTGCAAATGCGATGGCCTTTAGACTCTCGTTCACGATTTGAAGCTTTCTTTGATGCTCACGAACAGCAATCTTACAAGTTTGATTGGTGGCGACGTGCAGAAATTTAGTTTTTTTCCAATACAATGGTAAAAACTTTGACTGTCTGGAAGGAGGTGGGCAAGCCTTTTCATCCGCTTATGACCTTCTAGACCAAGTCAAATGGCTTTATACCATATGGAACAACTGGAGGTGCGTACATATTAGCTCCTGAGTTCTTGCTCTAACGTGGTGTCGTGGTGTCGTGTGCCTGGGTGCCTAGAAAGTCGAACACCTTCGCTATCACCATCGTTACCCCACAGTCCAGCAGGAGATTTAAGGCAAAGCGTCCTTTATCAACGTGCACGTCTTCAAAGGCTTTGGAATTCTTCTAGTCTCATGTGATTTTGCTTTTTCCCAGAACCACTGGAGGTTCTTGTTAATAGTATGACTCTCATCATTGTTTTTTCTTGTTTCGTTCTTTTTATTTCACAGGTGGAGTTGCTAAACTCCCAGTGGATTGAAGATCGTTCATTTGGTCGGGTCGGTTCAAATTTACATGCTATGTGATGGTAATGCCTCTGGAGCAAACTATGTAAGATCTTAATTTCCTGAGCTGGATTTGTTTTTCCATTTTCTAATCAAGTTACGGGGACAAACTGATCAGGAATCCTTGCAAACGTACAAGAAGATCCACGATGTTAGAGACCAGTCTACAGATTGCAAATACTCGGCCTACATGGTAAAGTTCACGAGTTTTTCGGGGGATGCCTTGCCAAGCGGCCATGCCGCCAAGCCCTAGCGTGCTCTAGGTATCATCTTGTTGCAAGTCGGATCTCGGACCTTTCAGAGATTCAAACATTATGAACATTAAATCATCGTTTTTACAGCTAAATCAAAGAAAATGATATGAAAAAAACTATCACGAGTCTGAACTATTCTGCTGCTCGATCAAACTTGTCACTGCTCTTTAGCTGCTTCCACTTTTCTTTTTGAAGCTGCTGCCCCTACTCTGCTGGGCGAACTTAAAACTTCGATTTTTCAACCTGCTACCCCTGCTTGGTTTAAGAAATTTTTCGTCTTTAAGCTGCTCAATCTTTGCTGCTCGATCTTAGCTGTTTCAGCCTGCTCCCTTTCTCTCCAAGTTTTAAAATCATCTTACAGTTTTCCATTCCCACTTGCTCGATTCTTATGATCTCTGACGCTGGTTTTATCTTTCGCTGCTTCAAGTCCTGCTCCACCCTCATTTTCATATTCTTCTGGCGGCCTGCTATGATCTGGACCACGTTGGCAGTCAGACTATTTTCCAAATAGAAAAGAAACATAATCTCTCAAGGTTATTTACTCACAAGTTGGCCAGAATAAGCAGCTCCTTAGCGTAGTCTCTGAGATGTTTTATTTATTTAGTCTCGAAGAGACGGCCTCCTACGATCTGGACCAAGTTGGAGCTCAGAAGATATTCCACCAGAGGAGAAAATTAAAAAACAAAAAAAATACCATAGGATTTGTTGCTGATACTAAAGGAGCTACCATCACAATTTGTGTGTCGCTGCAGCTTGCTTCTTCTGTTTAACAACACGGATGAAATGAATGGAAGAGGAAAAAACGAATGACTCTACGTACCCTCAGTCCACATTTCTCGATTGTAAAGGTGGCCATTGAACCTCTGAATCGCTTTGCACCAGCTTCCACGTTCCATGAAACTCGTCTGATCTTCTGTCTTTATGACTGTTGCTTCGTCTTAGAGTTCACTCCAGCTCTTGTAGTCTCCGCATGTCAGGGGCGAACATCAGCCGTTTTTCAGTCTTTGTGAAGCCGAACCTCTGGCTCCACCGCCACAAGCAGTTTCTTCGAGTTTGAGATCATCTTGCCATCATCATCTTCTATCATCCAAGCACCTGTAAGAGTGATCCTGGACAGCATTGAAGCTCTCGTCCCGTTTCCGTCAACTAGAGAGCTTTGTCTTTGATCCGTCTTGGCATCTCATCTTCTCCTTCATCTCGCTGTTCCCACGCCAACGTTTGATGGACTCTTCTCCACTCGGCTGGCTGACTGCTCCGATCTCGGGCACCGTCTCGGCGAGCTCCGCTTGAGAAGCCCAGATCTTGACAAAATTATCTGCTATCTCCCGATTGATCAAGATATCTCCGAAACTTTGGAGTCGAGGGAGGATATCTCCTCGAAGAGGTTGATCTTCTCTTGACTTAGAAGTGTGGAGACTGGTCTCTGGCGCTTTGGAGGCTTGCTACTGCTTCCCTGCGCTGCTCGAGCTGTCAGTACTTGGCTTGCACCTCTGTTCTGTATTTGACTCTCGAGAGCTGGTTACTTCTTGAACTTCCATTCTCGTTTCTTCGACATGCTTAGAACCTCTAGCAGTTAGGGAATGCTTCCGCCACTTCAGGCCTTGATCGTGCTGAGAAGCTTGAGCGGAAGCATGCAAAAACACAGCTTCCTGCGAAGCCAGATGCTCCTTCTTGTCGCATGTAGCGTCCATCTGATCTGTCAAACCTCTGGAGCGCGGCGCTCCATGTGCTCTCACATCGGTTCTCCTCGGCTTGTCTTCTTCATCCTTCAGAGCTCCTCGCCCAAAGCTTCGCTGTGCATCTGGCACGTCTCTCTCTCCTCCAGCGCCTCGAGTCCCGTGATCCTCTCCATCAGCTGCCAGTTACTTGCTTCTCCAGCCTCGCCTTTGCGCTTCCAAACTCCGCCATCACGTGCTCTCGCCGAGAGCTCCACCTCGTGCAGCGGATTCGACTCCGTCAGCCATTATCCCCTGGGGCTTCTCCTTCAAGAACTCCTGTCCGAACACTTCCCTCATTCCACCAGATGACAGAGAACGTCTAGCGTAGTCTGTCTTATAGTCTCCACAGCCATCCGAAACCCTAGTCACGAGCAGCTTCAGCTATATCGTCTTCTCGCCATCTTGCAGCCATCTGACACTGGTTTACGTCGTTCCTCGCTACTATCATGGACAGCCTTACCGCAGCAGGCGCTCCTGAATCATCTCCATCCACTGGAAAGCCGATAAGATAGATTCCTCCTGCTCCAGACACTGTAGAGTGTAGCCCAACTTGATCCATTGATCTTCTCTTGACTTAGAAGAGTATGGAGGCGGGTCTCTAGCCTGTTTAGATGCGGAAATTTGATGGACTCTGCTGCACTTCCAGCCGACTGCTCTGCCTGGAGCCTCGTCAACCGCCGCTTTCGACTCTCCATCTCGGCCACCATCTTCCGAAACTTTCAATTCCAGTCGTTGATCTTCCCTCGACTGGAGTGTGGAGACTGGTCTCTAGCTCAGACTTGACGCTTTAGTGACCTGCTACTGTGGTGCTCGACTTGCTTGGACATTTGGCCACAGCTCCGAGTTTTCCCACTCCAACTTTTGGATTTGATTTCCCTTGAAGCAATCTGACACTGAGTTCTTTGCTGATACTTTCATCCGAGCAGCTGTACGAGCATTCCTGGACAGCCCTTTTTCAAAGTCTCCGTCAACTAGAAAGCTCTACCAGATGACAGAGAACGTTGAGCGTAGTCTGTCTTATAGTCTCTGCAGCCCTCTCTGTGAATCCAAATACCCCCACTGTCACGAGCAGCTTCAGCTATATCATATTCTCACTATCACCATCTCCTTGCAGTCGTTCCCTTGCTACTATTCCTTCAAGCTGTGAACATTATACCGCAGAATCTCCTGTCTCATCTCCGTAGACTGGAAAGCTGATAAGATAGATCCCTCCTTGCTCCAGACACTGTAGAGTGTAGTCAAACTTGATCCATTGATCTTCTCTTGACTTAGAAGAGTGTGGAGGCTGGTTGCTGGCCTGTTTAGACGCCTGAAGTGTGATAGACTTCTCCGCCTGGAGCCCTGAGACACAGTCGTCACGCACTGCTTTCACGTCTTGGACAGTTGCAAATCTTTGGAGTCAGTCCTCGAGAAGGTCGATCTTCTCTCGACTTAACTGGTCTATAGCTTTAGTGGCCTCCTCCTGTGCTGCTCAACTTGCTTGGAGATCCAACTTCTGGATTTGACTCTTGAGAGTTGGCTTCTCCGATGCTAGAGTCCGAGCACTGGCCTCCAGTTGACCAATCCTTGCAGCCAACTTCTCGAGCTCGGAGCCAACTTCATTTCTCGTTTCTTCGACGTGCTTAGAACAGTTTGCTCGTGTTCTCTTCTCAGGTAAACCCAGGGTCTAGTCGTCTTAGAGTTCGCTCCAGCCCGGCCGATCATCTTCTCGCCATCATGGTTCCGACAAAACAAACACTCATCGTTCACTTCAGCTCTCTACAACAAACACGGAAGTTATGGCCATCTGGAATCTGGAAGGTATATCAAACTTACCTGTCTCCTCTTGAATTCTGCAACAAAATCTCTCCCCGCACGATCATATAGTTCTTTTGCCTCCTTCACGAAGACCATCTCGCCGGACTGAAGCTTCTTCCACGGTTTCCTCTCACTCGGGATCCTATCCAGCATTTTCTGGAGCCTCATCATCTTCCGCGCTCGCTTGATCCTCTCTCGGTCGCTGGATTTGCCGTTGAGCTCCTCGTAAAGCTGCTCGGTGAGTCTGATCAGAATCCGGAGCGCACTAACACTCCAAGACTTTTCCTCGTACTTCTCCTCTTCTGTTTCCTCGCGCTTTTCCTCTTCCAAGCTGCGGATCTTCTTCTCGGTTTTTCCCCTCTGGTTTAGCCACCGATTTACCTTGTGGAGAGCTTCGAGATACGCGAACTCAACATAGCCCCCTCGGCCATCGCTAAGATGGGTTTCACTCCGCCGTCGGGTGCCGTCGGGAAGAATGTCCTCCGCTGAGGAAGAGAAGCGAACCATCTTCGGCCTGGAACCTGCAAGTCCAGAAGGCCATCGTGAGTCACAGTAGAAGAAGAATGCGAGAAGCAAAAGGAACCATACCTGGACGACGACCCCCGGCTGGCAGTAGAATTGGCTTGGGTCGCTGCTCCTCCTGCTTGGGCTTGTCATTCTCCTGCTGCTTCATCTTCTCTTGATCGTCTTCCCGTTCCAGAGGCTGCTTGATCGGCTTGATCATCTGCTCCTCCTCTTGTTCCAGCTGCTGCTTCATCGGCTTGATCATCTGCTCCTCCTCTTGTTCCAGCTGCTGCTTCATCGGCTTCATCCGCTGCTCCTCCTCCTGTTCCTGCTCTTGCTTCATCGGCTTGATCGGCTTGATCGGCTGATTCGGCTGATTCTTCTCCTCTCGTTCCAGCTGCGGCTGCTCCTTGTGACCTTGCTCCTGTTTCACCTCGCGCCTGAGTTCCTTCGTCTCATGGGCTTCTTTCTCCTGCTCCTCCTCGCTCAGCTGCTCAGCTTTCTTCTCTTGCTCCTCCTCCTTCAGCTGCTTCTCGGCTTCCTTTTCCTCCTCTTCTTCCAGCTTCATCGGCTTCATCTGATCGGCTTCTTTCTCCTCCTCGTTCACCTGCTCGGCTTTCTTCTCTTCCTTCAGCTGCTCCGCTTTCTTCTCTTGATTCTCCTCTTCGTCCTCCTTCTCTTGTTCCGGCTTGATCGGCTTGATCGGCTCCTTGTGCCCTCGCTCCTGTCGTATCGCTTCTAAGACGATTTTCACCTCGTGCCTGAGTTCCTTCAACTTCAAGGCGGCGGCGTCCATGGCTTCTCCCGAGACGGCCTCACAGACACGAAGCTTCGAGGCCGCCGCGTCCATGGCTTCCGGGTGGACCTTGTTGTCGCCCTTGTGCGCCTTTTTTGGTCGAAAGAGAGACCACAAACCTGTGACGCATCCACTGCGCTCCTGCTCTGTTCGCGCCATAGCTTGCCCTTTGCAAAATGCCTTTAATGCCCTAACCCTTACTAAATGTATTTCACATTAATGTATAAATTAGTAATTGCCTAGCATATGCTATCCGGTTTGCAAACACTTTATAGTTTTTAAAAATTAAGTTGGAATAGTATCAAAATAGCAATTGTTGTGTTTGAGGAAGTAACTATAAACATGGAGGAAACTATCAGAATCCCAGAAGCTATCTATATAACTACAAAATCCCATTACAAACACATAGAATAAACTTTATAAAATCAATTACCTCCTACAATGCTACAAGACACTTTGGCTGGAAGTGTGTTTATGAATGTCTGGATCTAGCCACATAAAAGTTTGAAAGACAAAGGAAATCAAATCGATGGGATTTTAGTATCTTTAGTCACATCAGAAAATGAAATTATTTAGCCAGTTTGAAGAAACATGAACTTTACCTTGGAAGTTACCTGGCTTGCAGATTCTACCAAGGATTGATCCATCACGAAAACGTTCTGGATGCCATAACACTCCAGTGACCTTAAGGTTGAGAAGAACAGTCAGTCAGCCACTCCTCTTGCTGCCACTCATGCCAATCTTGAGCTTGAAACCAGCCTTTTGGAGTGGCCCTTTGACGAGCTTGAGCATTGTGGGGAACTAAAACACCATTGACTTGATCGACTTGACACTATTGATTTTCTCGAGCATAGATATTAGCACATTGATCTTGGTGCTTAGCTTCACCCTTTCACCCATGATGTGTAGAGAATACCCTGGAATCCCGTGAGAGTGTGCTGGTGGCAATAAAGAGATTGGGGAGCTATGAATCACAGCACTCTAGAAGCAATCCAGCAAGAAAATTGAAGATATGCAAACCTGGCATTTTCAATCCGGTGTCTTGCACAGTGAAATCATAACCCTAGAGAAGAAGGTGCAGCATGAATCACCACTCTCAAGTGAGTCTCCACTGTAGGATACATTTTGATGGCAGAAGTCAGAGTGCAGAAGGTTGTGTCAATGCTTTAGAATTTGGTCAACATGAACGATTTCTTCTCTCGGCCCATGCAATTGGCAACCTCCTATTAGCTAAAAGTCAACATCAACACAATTATTCTCTAAGACATGGTTATAAAATGACTCTTTAGGATTTGACAATCCAAAAAGTCTGGCAACTTCTTATTATTATAGAATTTTTACTGTGACTTGGTAGCACCCTATAGAAATATAATTTGTTGTGCCTTGCATGTAGCAACATTTGGTCTGCTTAATAGTAGTGTCATTGCTATTTAGTATTATTGAACAATCCAATTGATTAATAATATAATTATGTTTATATTTATAAATCAATATTAACCTTATTGAGAATGAATAAGAATATATTAGGAAGTATTTAGGAAATTTTATAGATTATAAACATGTTTTATAAAAAATAAATAATACTCATTAAATATTAAAATATCCTAGAATATTTAAGTATATTCTAGGTATATCCACCACCATAGACAAAATTCTAAGGTGAAATAGAATACCTTACTTTTGTAGCATCACATCTTTGTGGCTTGATACTAGGCTAGCTTGCTAGCCTCTTGAAGGTAAAGTGCCTTAGGCTCATAAAAATCAGCTCATAGAATACATCCTAAAAGATGTTTACATTTTCTTGTCTCTCAAATATTTAGACTTTGAGTAAAAACCAACTCTAAGAACCTGTTCCAGCCTGCCTTAAGAATTCTTCCAACTTGAGAGTTCTTGACTTTGGATCAAACTGACTATAGAGCTAGGTACTAGTATATACTAATGGAGCTCAAACAACTTTCTAACCTACACTAGCATGAGTTGAGATTGTAGCTGTAGTGATTAAATATTGTTTAACCATTTTTGTAGTGCATGGGATTAGAATATACTATCACTGTGAATCTTTAGAATCTTAAGGAATAAATAGGAAAGGATTTGTTATCAAGTAATTATCAAGTAAGGGCTCTTTAATGACTTATAATGCTTTGATCTCCAGTAAACATGGTCAACAATATCATGCACCATCTCATGAAACTCCATAAAGAAACTTTATAGAGTCTATTAGAAGTTTGTAGCCCTCAAAAGCTTAAAGATAAACTTTATTCTTTCTATATCTTCTTTTCCTACTTATTCCATTTTCACAGACTCCCTCAATGATGTTGTTTAAGAAATTTACAAGGTTTTACCAACTTCTTCAACTGGATGATGGCTGAAAGATCTAGTGAGAAAATTAAAGTTAATCAAAACTCAGTAGCTAAAACATTTTATCATGTTCTGTTTACCTCACATCCCCACTGCTATGGAAGATACAATTCTAACTAGGTAATTTATCTAATGCTTTATTTATTTTAACAAATTCACTAAAATGTATTTACCTTTTAGCTCATGAGATAACTTCAGGTTTTTTTCCCATATATTGGAGAGTCTTTATGAAATCTATAATCCAGTTGAATTGGCTTTGCCACTTGAGTTCAACCTTGAATTTAGACAACTCATGAGACACAATTTTGTCAGTGATAAAACATTGTCAAGGTATGGCATTTTCTTCTGTTTCTTGAGAGTTGGTGAGTTGTGGAGTGGAGAATTGTCGAGATTCTAGAGAATATTCAAAAGAAGGATATTCTAAGAGTTTGTGACAAGAAGAAAGGAAGTTAAGAGAAGTTAGGAGAATGACAAGTGGAGCTTGGTGTGAGTTGGAGAGGCAGAACAATGGATTACAGTGTAGAGCCGATGTGGTGATGTGGCATATTCAAGTGCAGTGACATGCAGAGCAAGCAAGGTTTTCTAGTGAGCAGCAAGTGAGTACAATATGCCTGCACTGTGGGCAAGAGTTGCTTAAGCTGCTAGCCTAAGTCTTAGCTAAATTGTTAGAGGAATAGAAGCTTTTGTTCCTATGCAGCTCTTGGAGTATGAGTTCAATTGGACTTCTAGTTGTTATGTTTGGTGTGTCAGTCGGGAGCTACGTTCTTGAGCATTGAAGCTGAGCATGGAATGCCAGACTTCAGCTGTAAAGTAGTAGCTTGTGCATGCATGGCCAAAGATGACAACAAGAACAAGTAGAAAAATCCATAGAGGATATTCTTAGAAGGGAGAAATCAGAAAAATAGATAAAAGACAGAGAAACGAGATTTAAGAAGCACCAGCAAAACAATTCAAAGTCTTCTTCAGAAAAAACACCACAAAAGCCGACAGACCGAGGAGGAAGAGTGGGGACCTTATCAAAGTTCACCACAACACCAACAGCATCAATCAATTATCATGATGGCAGTAGTACCACCACCAGCAATTACTAGCTGGATGAAGTATCCCACATATGTGATATATGATGATCCCAAAGAGCATGTCACCATATTTGAGAACGTGAGCAAAGCAAATAGTGAGCAAACTTTGTGGCAGAGACTTTTTCTAGCAACATTGAAGGATGTTCCTGCGGAGTGGTATGCAACAATGGTGCAGCTTTCACTGATTGAGATGATTTGAAGACTGCATTTTTAAATGCTTTTAGCCCTACAGGATTCTATCAACGAGTGAGTGACAAGCTCAGTATGATTACCTTGCTGCCAAGAGAACTATTCAGTAGTATGCAATGAGATTCTGGCAACTCCTCTCGAAGAAGGATCCAAAACCTGCAAAAGATGATCAGATTTGATATTTTTGGCAAGGCT